GGGGAGGGATTAGACTGGGGCGGGGGGTGGGGTGCGCTAGAGGGCGCATGAAGGCCTCTCAGGTGGGAAAAATGGAAAACACAAAACAAAACACATTGATATCCAGGACTCGATGAAAAATGGGTAGTAGGGCCTCTTCCCTTGGTGCTGAACTGCCCACAAAAAATTCAGTCCCTTCTCTCGCCTTTTGTCTCCTAGGAGTAATGGAATCCAAAGAGGAAGAAGTGATAAAAAATCTCAAGGTGGAAAGTGGCAACCAGAAAAATGAAGAAAAAGATGAAAAGGAGCCAGTTGCTACTAAAGGGGGAGAGCCCTTGGCCCTCCTTTTGGAAGCTGATGAATACTCTGTGCCTAGAGGAAATCGTAGGCGGTTCCGCGTTAGGCAGCCCATCCTGCAGTATAGATGGGACGGGATGCATAGGCTTGGAGAGCCCCAGGCAAGGATGAGAGAAGACAATAGGGATAGGATTGGGGAGGAGGTGAGGCAGCTCATGGAAAAGCTGAGGGAAAAGCACTTGAGTCATAGTCTGCGGGCAGTTAGCACTGACCCCCCTCACCATGACCATCGTGATGAGTTTTGCCTTATGCCCTGAATCCTGATGTTTTCCTTAAAGTTTATAGGGAGAAACCTGCTTCCTCAACTTACATGTTTGTGATGTACTTCTCTTGTAAACATTTTGATGTTACTTGTTTCTTGTGGGTCTCCCATTACCAGCTTCTAATTGAATGTTGTGTTTTTTACCCTATTTGTAAGTTTCTGTCAGCAGGGGAGTTTTGCCTATAGCATGAAAAGATGCTCATTATATATTGTGACATTTAATAAAGCAGTTTAAAAAAGCATTATCCGTATATATTCTTTTTTAATTCAAATCTTATATATGATTGTAAACAGTCGTGTATACATATATATATAAAGTAAAGATTGTTTATCTTTTTGTGGTAGAATTATGAGGGAATTTTCTCACTTTTCAAAACTGAATGCATATTACTTAATAAAAGCTTGACCACCTTATAAAACAATGTGAGCACTTACTGAACACTTGTGACAAAATCTTAATTTTAGCTTAATTCTGGGCTCTCTTTTGTAGAAATTTAAGATACTGGTAAGAGATACATCTCTTTAAAGATCATTATATTTTGTCAGTAAGATTGATATGGTAATCATTGCCCAGGGCTGCTGTGTGGACCAGATGATGTAATTAGTGAGCTTTCTCCAAGTTTTTGTTACCACTGACATATACATGACCTAACCTATTAGGTATTCCCTTCAGTTATTAGGGGAAGTTTCAAGGCAAGGCCTTCTCTATACTCAAACAAGTTCAGTGGGCTAAGGGGTATGTAATTTCATTCTGCTGTGGTGTTCCATTCGCCTGGGTATTGTTCTGTCTGCTAGGTTTTGCTTTCTACACTGGCCCCCACCACTGCAGATCTTCAGGAATCCTCAAGGTGAGAAAGTCCCACTGATTTTTCTCGGACACCCAATGGATTGAATCCTTGCTCTTCTCTACAATAGTGTGGACACATCCCCTCTTCCTGTTTAGCTTCATGGAAAGACCTTGTCTATCTAGTTCTCTCAGAAAACCTCCCCAGTTCAGCAGACTAATAGACTACATAAGATGCGTGAGGGAACACGGCTCACTTTCAGTCTGACAGTCCCTCGTACCAGCTCACATCCACCTATGAATGTACAGAATTTTGTTATCCCATTTTGAGTTGGACACCAAGAGATCATGTCAATGAATTAGTGAGTACCCGAATGTAGGAATCTTTATGAGAAGTCCACGAGAAAAACACTGGGGTTAAGTGTCTCAATAGAATTTGGGAAACAAATTGTGTTAATCAGGTAAAATACACACATTTTACACGTGAAGGCAGTCTTTTGTGGGAATAAAAGGATTCTAGAACTGGAGTTGGCAAACAAACCCATAGGCCAAATCTGGCCCTCTGCCTATTGGCCTGTAAATGTAAGAATGATTTTTACATTTTTTAATGGTTGAAAAAAGTTGAAAATATTTTATAATGCAAAAGATACATGAAATTCAAATTTCGACACCCACAAATGAGGTTTTATTGGAACACAGGCATGCTTATTCATTTACATATTGTCTATGGCTGTTTTTGCACTACAGCAGTGGCGTTGAGTAGTCTGTTAGACAGTATGGCTTGCCTACAAAGACTAAATATTTATTATCTGGTCCTAACAAAAAAGTTTGCCACCCCCATTCTAGAGTAAAACATTGCAGTAGCACTTATGGAACTAAAGGGAAAAAAGTGGATATGTAGATGAGAACAACACATAACACAGCAAACCCTAGACATCATGAATCAAATGTCTATGTAACTACAAAGCTCTCCCTCCTCTTGCAGGCACTTGAGACACAAGGCACATTCATGCAAGACAAGTTTATAGAGAGAAAGGCTAGAGTCGAAAGGGCAGGAACACTGATAATAGAGAGGCTCATGCTCTACCAGACTATTCACTCCTTACTGCCAATGTTAGCACCAGCTTTAATGGAAAACAAGTGTTCTGCCTGTATTGGCCTGAGGGTATTCAGCAGTGTCTTCATGAGGAAAAATGAAGCTCACAGGTGAACTGATGGCATAGCCATGATAGGTTAGACACACATATGTCCATAAAAATATATATATATCTTTCCTGTACAGGCAGATCCAAGTTACCCTGTCAACCTCTCAGTTAAGGATGGGTTAAGGATTTTAGTCTCTTGAGAGAGAGAGAATCCTCTGCTAACCAGTTTCCCTTGGTTCTTAACGATATGTTTAGGTCTGAAGGGGCATCTGGAGGAAGTGGCGGGCTCCATGTAAAATACTCAGGCAACAAGCAACAAGCAGAAAGTGAGCAAAAGGCAATAAGGGAACATGGCATGAGGTTCCCTCAAAGGGAGCAGCCATATCTAAGATTCTGGATGCATTTGCCTATATAATCTCTATATGTTATGTGGTAAGCCTCTTGTTCTTCAGTGTGGCCATTCTCCACAAAAGGGATAGACAAATTCTTCCTATAAAAGCCTGAAAGTTCTGGCAACGAGATCAGGGAGTGCACCTTTGTCCTTAAAGAAAAAGAATGTTCAAAAAGGAGATTTGAGATGTAGGTATGGATTGGGCTATTGCGGTTTAGCACATTATATACATCCAGTAAATATTTGTTGAATGAATGAATGAAAAACTGAACAAGAGAAATACTAACTTAGTGGTGTTCAGCAAATGTTAACAAGTATACATTTTTGGATCCTTATGTATTTCTAACAAAATTGAGATAATGCAGATAATAACGCATAACTTTTTAATGAAATAATTACTGATTTTTCTTCTCAGAAATTCAAATCCACTGAAAGAAATTCAGAAAATAAACTTAAGGGCCACCGTGTGATCAAAGAAAGTGCTGCAGTTTGAACTTTCTAGTCATGGGCTGAGCAGGAAGAAGATACAGACACTGGATTCTTCCAGGGATTCAGATTGCATAGAAAGTATACTCTGGTTAGAAGTGAAATAAAACCTCCATGATTAGCATCATTTAAAACACTAAACCACATTTATGCCTC